TCTGTATTACTCACTGTGTAGGACAAACTTACAAGTAAGCAGCTTTAAGGATGTCTGGTTAAATTTCTTAACTACTAAGAATCAAACTTTGGAAATTCTGCATTTGAATAATATCGGGACTTCAGAGTAGTGTTAGAGGGGAGGCAAGGAGAAGGTAGTGTTTAGATATATTTTAAGTTTTACATTTGTTAACTACCTTCCAGCTTTTTTCTCCATTGTCTTATTCCTTATAATTTAAAATATTTGTCTGCATTGTATGCCATATGATTTCTTAAAATAAGAGCTGAGCTGGCTATATTCAAAGAAAATCTTTGGTCTAGCCATTTTATTGTAGCAGTAAAAGAAGACTGAAACGTTGCACAACTGGAGATTTAATTAGCTTTGATAGCTCTAGTAAAGAAAACACTTCCCTGTTAAGTAACAAATATGGGTGTAATTAAGTCTGTTGTGAAATTAAATAGAAATTAAGTGCTCTTCTGATTTCTGTCTGTGTATACAAAACTGAGAAGCCATTTGAGGTTCCACGTTCGCCTGTCCTGTGGCCATACAAAGAGTCGCCAGGAGGCAGTATTTGCACACATTGCTGCAAGCCTTTAACGTTCAATTTGATGAGATTTCATATAGAAAAAGTCTGAGCAGAAATTACATAGTAAGAAACAATATTTTTGAAAAGCTTTTGCCTTAATAGGACACATCTTTGATTTTCCATGAAGCTGTAGTACTGTGATACTACTAAGAAATGCCTTTTTACAGAAAGGTTTGCAGGAAGAGCCATAAGGATCTTCCAGCAGGACAGCTGACATAATTGAAAAGAACATGCAAACTTTCCTGCATACAAGCTTTTCCTGTTCCAGGAAAAGACTTCCCTTCCAAATGTGGCAGAAGAACACTGCTGCTTGACCCAAAGAATAGTAGTCCTTTTATTCTTGTTTTTTTCTTCGGTGGAACTGCCCTACTTTTTTTTTGTTTGATTAGAAATAAATATTAATCAAGGGATTTTGCATAACACCTACTATAAAGCTTGTTACCCTGTCTGCCAAAAGGCAAAGACTAGCCTTCTGGGCTGAACAGGTTTGATCTCTTTCTAGCACTCTTTTGATTTGCAAACAGGTAAATTGCAAAGCAGGGCTTATTTGCTTTTGACCGTTTCCCTCCTGTGTTTCAGTTGTCACTTGATCTTTCTTCAATTGCACTGAAATGATGACATGCAAATGTTTAGAAATGAATGCTACAAAACACTCTTGAACCACCCATAACTGGTAATGGTTGTAAAGCTTTTTTGATTGATGCATGTTTGCTGTTGTTTTGTTGGTCGTGAGATAGAATCATGCTTCTTCTCCCTACTCCAAACATACATTTCTTCAAGCTGCTTTGAAATTAATTTCTTAGCAACTACCCTCCACTCTAATTGACACAAGTCCTGTTACCCAAATTTGCTTTTCTTTTCAGATTTACAACTTTACTTTACTGGACACAGAAGCTCCGAGGTGAAGTTGACTAAAATATATAGAAAGTCCATCTTCAGATTCCTAACATTGGGATGTAATTGATTGCTGTCTGTCTCAGGAGTTGTGTATATACCTCTCTATATACCATTGACCAAATTTAGTATCATAATTCCATGAAACTGTATGTAGTGGAGGTTGATATCTCGTATAAAACTTAAGCCAGATACTACCTCTTTCAGTGAAGTGAAACATAAAGAAAAGGTAATGAAGAATTTTTGTAATAAAGCAAGATGCTGAAATAATATATTTTATGATAATATTCTGCCTATCCTATTTCAATGGTGTCTATACCTAAAATAATTTAATGCTGTGCAGGGTGAAATGAGATTAGTTTATGTTCGAGATTTTATAAAGTCAATGCAGTAGAACAAGACAGATGTATGAATCCACTTCTTTTAATGCTTAGGTTAAAAAATGTCACTGAACCTGCCACTGCATTTGTGTATAGAGTTGAAAAAGAAGGCATGAGCTACAAACCACTTTAGGAAGAAATTTGCGGTACATGGAGATTTCAGATTTGGTAGGATTCCTAGAAAACTCTCTTTCAAAAGAACAGGAGAAAAAATCTGGGGTTTCTGTGATTTTGTACCTTACTCCAAAATGTCCTTCATTGCAAAAAAACTCTCCTTGCTTTCCTGCAGTTTATAGATAAATAAGGCCAACTTCTGACCTTTAAACAGCAGGGGTTTAGGCCCTTTTTTGCCTGGGTTCTGGAATACCTCTGAGCTGACTAAAAATGTAGCCATCTTCTGATGTGCAGCACAGAGAGCTTGCAGTTTCTGAAGTTTATGGTTTGTTCAGATCCCTCTTGTCCCAACGCTCAGCCTTGTGAGTAAAGGCTGCTTCTTTAGATAGCAAAGACTTTGGATTTTCTCTTCTGGATCTGAACTTCCAAGGTTCAGATCACTTCTGCTTGCAGATAAAAAAAACTATAGAGGTAGGAAGCGCTGGGAAAAGATCTGATGGAGGTGATCTCTGGGTTTATGGTCAATCACAGGGTCAGAGGCCACAGGGAAAGAATGAATGAACAGGGTCTGTTCAACTGAGGGAGAAACAAGGAGTGTATGTAAATCTTCAAATGTGTAAAAGACTTCAGCAAAGATAAAGGGAATAAATTCTTCATGTCTTTAATGAGCTGGAAAGAAATAATGAATTTAAATTTCATCTAGGAATATTCAAATCAGGAAAAATTTGTTAAGAATAGTGAAGTAACCAGACTGCCTGAGGTTGGCACAGAAGCTCCATCATTAGATCTGTTTCCAAACAGCTTCAACAAATGTCTTCCCCTATGAATAGCTGATCCTGCCTTAGGGTGCTAAATACAGGGGTTGACCTTCTAAAGCCCCTTTCACTTCCTATCTAAGTTTTCAGACAGGCTTTCTAAGGAAACAAATTTCCTAGGATTGTGCTGTCAGCCTGTCCTATTTCCTTAACAAGTCAGGTAATAAACCCTTAGAAAGCTTTAACAAATCTAACAGTTCCCCTACCCCTCACTAAGATGTTACACAGAAAGAAATGGGAAATAAAGCTTTGTTTGCTTTGCTGGTCAGGGTTTTTTGAGGGGGGGGATATTGGGGGGAGGGGGGATTGATTGTTTGGGGTTCTGTAATGATCAATAAAGCACCCTGTGAACGTGTTTTCATCCCACTGTCAATTCCTTTCTAAGCCCAGCCTGTGATATGAATCAAACAGGGATTGTATAGCTTCCCCCTTGGGTCAGCTCTCATTTTGAATGGCTTCAAATAGCCTTTTAAATATTTCTCATCATTGTTAGTATCTTTTAAAATTCATCCTTGTTAAACTGGGTATCTAAAAATAAATTATTAAAATCATGTTTTATCATCTTCTTAAATACTATGGATCTTCAATATTCTGTGTTGTGAACTCATTCACTTCAATACAAATTTTTGCATGTTTGGACAGTTTCAAAAAAATGTGTCCAGCTGCTTATAATAGAGTATGATGGTGAAGCTGCATCCTTTGCCACAGGAAGTCCCTAACCTGGTAATGATTGTTCAAAACACTTGTTTATCAACTGTAACTTGTATTTTAAGCCACTTTATCATGCATATGTCTTTAATGCTGCATGCGTTTTGGTGGTGATCAAAGATCTGCCCTTTTTGTTTCACAGATTTTCCATTATTCTGCTTTCTGCAGGGGTAATGTCCAGAAGGGTTTAGGAAGGAAGAGAGTTTAATGTAGTGCATATGTACTTACATAGATGCTTTCCAAATAATCTACATTTTAAAATATCTGATTTCTTGTCCATTTTTGGATTTCAGGCAAAACTTCCAGGTAGTAACTATTCCAATCTGTTTCAAGCTTGGTGAATGCAGGTGGCCTTTTCTAAAATCTGTCTGCTAATAACAGTCTGAAAAGAATACCTGAAGTTTCCATTAAAGTGTTGCATATTTAAATGTTTTCTGAACTGCAGAATATCAACATGGATAGAAATAATGAAATAAGCTTGTACATAAAAAGTAGTCCAACAAAAACGTTCAACACTAGCTCTGAGAATTCTAAGTTGTGTAGTATTTCACAAAAATAAACTATGGAAATGGGTCCTTTATGGGTTCCAGATGTAGTGATACCCTTCTCAACAAATTCAGTGTACAAATGTCTGTGGGTTTTCTTAACTTAGGTGGATCAATCTATTTCCTAACAGTTTTTTTCATATCTTCTTATAGCTAAGATTCTAGAATGAATTGGGTTTAAAAAAATCATGGAATGTTCTACTACTCTTATAAAGAGGAATTATATTTTAGGAAGTTTCAGTTTTTGAGTGCTATTTTGAGATAACCAAGTGTTTCCAATGAGATACCCAGAAATCAGCTGGATCACTTGAAAATTAGTTGTTTACTGGAAGTATGTTATTCTGTTTGAGCTCTTATGATTTAAGGTGTGAAGATAATACAATACTATTCCATTGTATTACTTTTAATTTATTTGATTTTTTTAAAAATTTCAGAATAATCTCTTAAGCCTTTTAGTCTCCAGAGGAGTAAATCTTGTGTACGTGAAACCCCAAGACAAAAAAAAGTGAGTTATTTACCTGTCATTTTTCTTTCCTAAAAGTTCTCTGAACCTTTCTCCTGCATATAAGAAATTCCCGCAAGATCTCCTTCTCTTTATCTTTTGATTTTACTTATAAGATATATTTTCCAGTTTACTTTTATTCTCTTAAAGTCAAGAAAGTGACTATAGATAACTGTGTGTCTGAAGCATTGGCAGCTTGTGTGTCCCTGAAGCAGTCCTCAGTAAATCTTGAGGTCTAAGAAAGCTCCTACACAATCCCAAACTGAAAACTGACTCAGGAGTGGAAATCCATTGATACCGAATTTATAGATGACTTTTTCTCTTTTCACAGATGAGTTGAGCCAATTATTACTTTCCATGTATTTCTGTGTCTACACAATTAATGACACCTAGCTAACAGAAGCTCAATTATTATGAGAATCCAAACCTGCCTCTGACTGTGTATTCTCTAAACTATTTGTCCAGAGAAAGATTTTATTATCAAAGTTTGACATACTTAATCTGTAATCACATCCCTTCTGCATTTTGTCTTTTTCACTACATGTTAACTGATAAATCAACAGGGTACTCATCTTCACAGATTTTCATGTGAAGCATGAGATGGTCTGTAGATAAATCATTCTAACATTTACACAGCTGCATTGGATTAGAACTTCTGTTTCTGGAAGAGCTCCTTCAGCTGTTGTTCGCTTGTAGCTTCTTTCTGTTGCATCAGCTCCCTGGCTCCTTTGGTCACTCCCCAGCCATCTGGCTTTGACATTGAAGGACAATATGGCCTGCCTGAAGCAGGCTTCAGATTCTCCCAGTATTCTTTTCTTGCCCTAAAGAAAGAGAAGGAAATTCAGGTTTTTTTCCAGCACCTCACAATACTGAAGGAAATGGGGCTTAAATGACCGCTGCAAAGGGTCATCTAAATTGCACAGCTTGACTTTATATTTAGATACAGAAGTATTAGTGAAAGCATGCAATGAAATGCAACATGCTTAAAAAGTATCCTTTCATCCTTGAAAGGAACACTGTAAGCCACTCACCATTAGGAGCTGTTTAACAGCAATCTGACCATTTTTGGTCTTAACTTTCATGAATTACTTTCACAGTAATTCAGACCACATCTTCATTTTAAAGAGAGATGAGAATTCCTGGAGCTCTCCTACTGTCCCTTCATCCCTTTCCCGACTCCCAGGTCGGGTTTACTCCTTCAAAATTATTAACACAAAGAGTGTTTACAGTGATATTTAGACCTCCATATCAGTTAAGCCAGTCTGCTGCATGGACCAATATAAGCCTTTGCAAGGAGTATGCTGCTGTGCCTTCCAGGTCAGGTATACATACCTTGCTCTGACCCAGGGCTTGGTATGCATGCTTAGGCTATCACCCCAGCTACCATGTTTCTCAGAAGCTTCTGGCAAAAATCCTCTTTCGGGAGCCAGCTCCTCAGCTATTGCTCGGACATGATATGGCTCAAATCCACAGCAACCTCCAATGTAACGAATTCCTAAGTCATATGCCTTTCTTGCATATTTTTGAATATCCCATCTGGTTACAATTCTTGGCTCCAGACCTGCAAAGACATTCATATCTTAAGTTGCCACCATACTCCATTTCAGCACATTTTTTGGTAAGAAATCACTTTGTTGAAACACTTTCACACTGTTTGCAAAACTGGTTGTAGATGTACATGTATGTGTTTGAACTATCTGAGCTAGAATTAATGATGCAAACTTTCAGAAGTCTAGCTTTCAGACTCCGCTATGCTCTCCTGAGGTATGCTTGTTGTAAGCTTTTTTGGCCTTGCAAAACAGCACCTAATATCTTCTGAGACTGATCAAGTCCTAAATCATACCCTTGCCATTCTGCCAGAGTTCTTAGCTGAAGTATTGGAGTACTTTCAATGTTACGCCCACATTCCCAAAGAGTTCCTAATAAACAATCAATATCTGGGAAAGCTGTGAAAGAAGAAGGTATCAGCCTACCTGCAACAGGAATAAGCCTGCTCATTATTCCTCAGGAATGTTTACTACACTTTTTTCCATGATCAGCTCGTGGCAGCCAATTGTTTCACCGACAGCTGGGATCTGTAGCTGTTTCTTAGCCCATCCCTTACTTAGTTATAATCCCAACCATAAGCAGCTTGCTGCCTCAAACCACTTTGTTTTTTTGTAGAAAGTTCTATATGTAGATTAAGTTAGGATGCAATCTTTATTTTGAACCCTTCTCCCTGTTGCAGGTTGCGGTGAGCAGAGTGAGGGTATAACAGAGCTGAGGAGGAGGACTTGTGGAAGGAAAGGAATAGAAAGTGAAAAAACAAGGAAAAGCACACCTCAAAGGGAAAGAGGCATAAGAGCAGAAAGAACTGGAGGCACAACTGGAAAGAAAAGACCAGGGACTGAAGAAGAAACTTTAAGGAATAAAAACACAGGAATAAAGGAATAAAAATCTTCCCACTTCTTTATGCACATCTGCAGGAGATGAACAAGCATGGTTATTAGGCAAGTGCAGCATGATGTCTGTGCACTGAACACTCCGCTGGGCAAAGAAGATGCGGTGAGGTAGTAAGGCTCCATCAACACATCAGAGAGGTAGGATTCTTCTCCCTATGTCCTTTCCGAAAAATGCCTCGCATGCAAGCAGGTGGTACAAAGCAGATCTACTCTAAGTCCAATGGGTAGATAAGAGACATACTCAGAAAATAAAAAGCAGAAAGAAAAGAATGAAATGTTCTTAAACAGAAAATTATTGGCTGGGGAGGGAAAGACTGGACAAAGGACAAGTAGATGGTCTAATATTAGAAGGAAAAACAGATGAAGCTATCTTGGAAAGCTGTTTAAATAAAAGTAAGCTTGTGTACAGTCCTGCAGATGTGAAAGAAAGCATCAGAAGCACAAATTCATGATTTCCGTGTCTCTCATATCCTTGAAAAGCTAATGCAAAATAGATACAAAATTATCAACAGTAAGAATGCAGCATCTTCCATGCAGTTTATACCTGTATAAGCAACTAAACTCCAGGAGAACAGTATAGAATGTTTCCCTGTCTTCTCCATCACCCACCCTGTCACAATCCATGGGATCTGATGAGATGCATCCGAGGGCCCTCAGGGAACTGGCAGATGAAGTTACTAACCCACTATCCATCGTATTTGAAAAGTCAGGGCAGACTGGTGAAGTTCCCACTGACTGGAAAAGGGGAAATATAACCCCCATTTTTGAAAAGGGAAAAAAGGAAGACCCAGAGAACTACCGGCTGGTCAGTCTCACCTCTGTGCCCAGCAAGATCATGGAGCAGATCCTCTGGGAACTATGCTAAGGCACATGGAAAATAAGGAGGTGACTGGTGACAGCCAACATGGCTTCACTAAGGGCAAATCATGCCTGACAAATTTGGTGGCCTTCTACGACAGGGCTACAGCATTGGCGGATAAGGGAAGAGCAACTGACGTATATCTACTTGGACTTGTGCAAAGCATTTGACACTGTCCTGCATGACATCCTTGTCTCTAAATTGGAGAGACACGGATTTGACAAGTTGAGCACTCAGTGGATAAAGAATTGGCTGGATGGTTGCATCAAAGAGTTGCGGTCAACAGCTCCGTGTCCGAGTGAAGACCAGTGATGAGTGGTGTCCCTCAAGCGTCCATATTAGGACCAGTACTGTTTAGTATCTTCATTGATGACATAGGCAGTAGGATTGAGTGCACCCTCATCAAGTTTGCAGATGACACCAAGCTCAGTGGTGTGGTTGACATGCCTGAGGGATGGGATGCCATTCAGAGGGACCTAGACAATCTCAGGAAGTGGGCCCATGTAAACCTCATTAAGTTCAACAAGGCCAAGTGCAAGGTCCTGCACCTGGGTTGCGAAAATCCCAAGCACAAATACAGGCTGGGTGATGAGTGGATTGAGAGCAGCCCTGTGGAGGACTTGGGGGTATTGGTGGACGAAAAACTGAGTATGAGCCAGCAATGTGCACTCACAGCTCAGAAAGCCAATAGCATCCTGCGCTGCATCAAAAGAAGCATGGCCAGAAGGTTGAGTGAGGTGATTCTCCCCCTCTACTCTGCTATGGTGAGACTCCACCTGGAGTACTGTGTTCAGCTCTGAGGCCCCCAGCATAAGAAAGACATGAACCTGCTTGAGTGGGTCCAGAGGAGGGGCACAAAAATGATCAGAGGGATGGAACACCTCTGCTGGGAGGAAAGGCTGAGAGACATGGGGTTGTTTAGCCTAGAGAAGGCTCCAGGGAGATCTTATAGTGGCCTTCCAGTACTTCAGGGGAGCCTAGAGGAAAGATGGGATGGAGTCTTTATCAGGGAGTGTAGTGATGGAGTGAAGGGTAACAGTTTTAAACTGAATGAGGATAGATTTAGTTTAGATTTTAGAAAGAAATATTTTATGATGAGGGTGGTGAGGCACTGGAACAGGTTGCCCAGAGAAGTTGTGGGTGCCCCCTCCGCGGAAGTGTTCAAGGCCAGGTTGGATGGGGCTTTGAGCAACCTGGTCTAGTGGAAGGTGCCCCTGCCAAAGGCAGGGGGTTGGAACTAGATGATCTTTAAGGTTCCTTCCAACCCAAACCATTCTATGAATCGGTCCTTGTGCTTCAGGAGTATAAGACAGAAAAAACCTAACCTCTCTGAAGAAACAGGGATAGACCCCGCTATAAGAACCAGCCACACATGTGGTGAAACATGGTGACTGAAAACAAGCAGTATTCTATGAAAAGAAGTTGCCACATAGATCATGTTTTGTGGGATTTTCCCCTTCCCAAAATTCACTAACATTCGATACATTTCTTTTCTTGGCTTTATTCAGAATTTAATATCTATAGTTTAACATTTTATGTTAATATTTATAGTAAAAAGAGATTGAAATTTTCATCAACTTTCGATGAGAAGATTGTAACCTGCTCCTAGATTTAGCCCCTCTACATATATACTCTTGAGATAATTGGGTATGCTTTAACTGACCGGGACATTTCTTTCTAAAACATTGCTTAACTAGTGACATTTCAGAGCAATTGCAATAACACAGAAGGGAAAACACAGAAAACTGGAAAAAGTTCTACAGATAAATAAATACTGCTGGCATCTAGATGCTGGAGTTTGCCAATACAACATAGCCAACACTTTTCTAGAAACTGAGATCTTGTTGGCCTATACAGAGGTTATGTACACTTCAAATATCTAAATACCTCCTTGTGCGTACTGCCTTCCACAAAAAACAGAGTTAACTGGATCAGTTTAACAATACTTCACCAAACTGCTTATCTGCCGTCAAGCAATCAGTTGCTCCTGGGTACTGAAAACATTCACAAATACCAGCCTTCTCCAATTGACTCATGAAATTTCTGAAAGCTGACATCTCATACAGATTGCTTATAACATACAAGCCAAGAACCATAACAAACCAAAGAGTGAATCCTTCAATTCAGTTGATTACTTACTGCATCTGTTCTATCTTTTTTTGTTTGCAATCAGAGGAGTTACATGAAGGAATGAATAGGATAAATGAGTTCCTAACACTTTTAAACATCCCAAAATATTTTCAGAACTCAGATATGTTATTATCATTTAATGAATGCCTCAGGCGCATGCTTTATTCTTTTTCCTTTGTTTATGTAAAGAGAGGAATTTAAAAAAAAAAATCTTCCTGAAAAATCACATCTTTCTCTCAATTTTTTTGCTACAAATTCCAGTTTTGAATGTTTTAATACCTTATTTTATAGAGTGTATGATACCTGGAAATGAAAACATTTTTCTAATCAATTTTAAAATGTTTAGGCTGATTTTGTCCTCCTGTCTTAAAGGTATGTGATCTTCTACATCCCAGGTGGAAACAAACCCTAAATACACAAGCCTTACATACACGTAAACTGGCTGAATCCTTCAGTCTTTGTAGAATTTCTCCTGAGCATACATGTGATGAATCCATCTCCAAACTGCTAATCCATTTGTTAACAACATCAAAGAACATATTCCCTCTTCTGGTTTCTCTCTGATCTCACTTATATTAGACAGTTACACACTTGCAAGACTGAACTGTTATGAGTGCAATAATCATGCACCTACATCTAGTTCTGCATATGCATTGTACATTAAATCCCTAAGCAGGTAAACATTATAGGGCTTTGGGGATAGATGTCACAACCCAGAATTCTGGGGTTGTTTTAGTTTATTTGCTCTTGTTCATTTCTTTGGACTGTTTATACCTGTCCTGAATAAGGTTCTATAGCACTACGAAGAACTACATTTTTAACTGAGTTTAGGTTGTGGCACTTTAACTGTTTTCACCATAATTTCACTTTCAGTCACATGCTGTGATACTACTGAAGTACTCTCACTATGTGGATGATCTTTAATCCAATATTACACTGCAATCTCCCTGTGGAAAATGCCAGACAGGATAACTGGGACTCATCTTACTGTATAGAAGGACACCTTGCAGCTTCATCTTTACTAAAGGCTGGGAAAAAAACCAGAACAGGCAACTAAAAAAAAAAAAAAAAAAAAGAGAGAGAGAGAAAAGATACCCTTGTCTTACCAAAGGGAAATTCTGGAAGATCAATAAAACCCTGCTTTCCACAATCAGGCGTATGGAAAGCAAGTGGTTGGGACATCAGGTGGGCTTTCAGTTTAGCAGCCTGCAAGCCCTCTTTCATCAGTTTCACAGTTTCTAGGGAAGTATCTGGATCAAAATGGCAGTTGACTCCAACAATAGAAGCACCTAGAGGAGGAAAATAACTTCAAGTCACATCTCCCTAGGAAGTGAGAGGTGCAAGTTCTTAGCCAGAGCACTCCAGAAGCAGAGCTTTACACCAGCATTATGAAAACAAGACGGTTGGGTTAGAGCCAGCCTCAACTCTCCTGAGGTTAATCATGCCATTTACATCTCAGTTGCACTCCTCTTTACCTTCCTGATGATGAATGATGTCTCCCACCCTCATACAGTTGCTTTTCTTATCAGTGCTTAATCAATGAAGACTGATTATGTACAGCCACATATGCAAATAGCTAGCAGGACCCTAACACAGGTTCTGCCTTTGGATTTCAGCTCTAACTCCAAGGGAAATGAGTAGTTCAGAACAGATATAATGAACCCCTGTACCATCATTCATCATGCCCTTGATTAATTTCTTCTGCCCTTCCCCTTGTCCTGCGGAAAACACAGCCTTTGATAGGCAAAAAGATTAATTTTTTCATCCTCTTATTCTCTCACCTAGGGTTTGAACTGTGCTCCATACATTTCTAAAAACATGAGCAGAGAATCAAATGTGTCTTTGGATTCTGCTTATGTTTCCAGCATTTGGGGTTGGCTCTAACCAAATTTGAGTAGGTTTAGGATTTTGCACTGTTCAGTATCATCTGCCTGTGGCTATTGCTTCCAATACCATCCTGGTTATCCAGGATTTCATAGCTGCATTTTAGTAAGTTTTTTACAAGACTGCTCTAGTAAAGTACACATAACTTTACTACAGGGTCAAAACTTTTATCAGATATAATTGCAAAGCTACCTACTTGAGATACACATCCATTTATCTCAATACTTAAGGACTTTATTCCATACTTTTAAATGGCACATTAAAACAGATTCTTACCAGCCTTTACCAGTTGGACAGCACATTGTCCAGGGGGCACACCATGCATGTCTCCTTCTGGACCAATGCACATCGTAGCTGCAACTGGCTTTCCAGATTCTTTTAGCACTTCAACTGCCCAGACAGCCTCTTCAACATGTTCAAAATACTGGAAGAAATTAAAACTGGACTAGTTTTGTTTCTTGGAGGTGAAGCATAAACACATTAATCCAGACCCCAAATTCACCAGCAATACAATGACTTGATTATTTTATGATTTACACTAACATAATTCAGTTGAGTTCACTGACCACACAGTTAAGAAAGGGTATTAAAAAGTCAGTAAGTAAAAGCAAATAAAACCTCACGATACTCTTGTTTCAGAATAAGAATGCCCATACAGGAGGTTAATCAGGGATTTATCCCCAAAGTACTATTTTCATCTAGAAAAGTCACCTTAGGTTGCTTGCTTATGGTGTACGGGAGGAAAAAGGAGCTAGTCAAGATCACATTAATCTATCCTCTTTGGGCCAATACAGAATTTGATGTGACTGAGGTAGAAATTTAGGTTTCAAGGTCTTATTCTAGGATGCTTGCAAATGCTGCTGTGCATTTAGAAAAATACCGATACTACTGGAATAAAAGCATAACAGAAAATTTTAAAGGAGGAAGCAATATATATTTGTACTCCCTAAAGTAGACTAGACTTCTTAAAGTTAACACTGTGCCAGTTGAAGGCATGTACTTTTTTCACGTAATTACCTCTGCAATTAGGAAGTCCACATTCTTCTTCATAAAGACATCTAGTTGCTTTCGAAAAGCTGCTTTAACCTCTGTTTTATCCTTGCAGCTTAAGTATGATGGTGTTTGACTGACTCCTCCAGCCACTAAAGCATCGCCTTCATTAGCCACTTCTCTTGCAATGTCACAAGCAGCTTCATTCACTTTCTGGCACTGTATGAATATAGATTATGTCAGTTTTACCTGATCAGAGATATGCATGTGTTTTCAGAGCACAAAAAGGACAAGAAGAGTCAAAAGCTGTAATGGCTTCTTCATATTCTTTATAATTTAAATTAATTTTTTAATATACTGACTAGGAAGATCAGCGTCTTTCAAAAAAATAATAAACATTAGGAAACAAACTCTTGCCACCTCTTAAGTTGTCGTATTATCAAATACTACAAAAACACGTTACCTTTAATACATCTTACACAAATAGTCTATAAAAAGCAGATATTTGGTGTGAAGTGGAATTTTCTTTGCCTCCTAGAAAATGAGTTAGTTACACCTAAGTGTATGCTTTTATTCTGACATTTTACGGGTGGAAAACAAAATATATAATAATTTCAATTTATTTTTCATTTTTTTAAAATACATTTTAGTATTTTGATAATTTTAAAAATTTAAGATATAATATCCATACAGAGTTATTTAAGGCATTTTTAAAAAGATATCATTAATTATCCAAAGTTAAAGTTACCCATTTAAGAACTGTAAGGGGAAACTTATCACTATATGTGATTAATTAATCACCTAGACAGAAAGACACATTCCCTCTATACCTAAATCAGGATGACTAGAACAGCTTGTGAAAAAAAAGGTTAAGATGAGAAAAAAAGATTTTGAGAAAAGACTTATTATTTGGGATAGATAACAAGAACTGATTAGAGCAGGTTTCTCTGCAGCCCATGGACTACTTGGAATCTACATAGGTTTCTCTCAGCTGAAGTTTTTTATGGCTGCTTCAAAAGACCCAGCTGATTTTTAAGGCTGTTGCTGACAGATTGTCTTCCATTTTCACTTGTGCTCAGGTACATGTTTGGGAACTCCGGGAGGTGGAGCCAAAAACCAGTTAAAGACTGGAGGAACCTGCTTCCAGACCTCACAGCAAATCAATCTTGAAAGCTTTGCTGCAATGCATTCCCAATACCAGGTGCTCTCCCAGCACTTCTTATAATTTTGCATGGCAGTAAGAATTGCAACATGGCTTGTTCCAGAGGCACTGTGTTTCTGGGACTACCACTTCAGACATTTCAATGTTGCATCTACTGAATGTAAAGATACAGCATTTCAGACAGATTTGGTCGTATGACATTTTGGTATGACCTCTTAATTAAGCCTCAAGTGTTTCCCTAGTGTCCAGATTTTTCTAATTTCTGACTTGGGATATCTTCCAGATACAAAGGTATTCCTTACTCCCTGCCCCCTGAAGAATCTTTGCTATTTTGCAGAGGTTGAAACAAACAATAGGACCAAAGGGGAAAGGATCAGAGAAAACACCCAATGGCAAACTTTCTAGTCTCAAAGGAACTATCTAGAAATGTTTGTGCCAGAAGTCCCAGTGGAGCTGGGGCCTGCATATAGTGAACACACCCAACATCCTACAACTCCTTTGTGTAGGGGCTAAGAAAACACCAACATGGTGCTTCTGTGGCTGTAACAGATGACCTTTACGCATGAGAAGGGGAATACTGACCACAGGGTATACCATGGATTTTTTAGTTGTTCCTTTATTAAAGACATGGTTCTAAAAAACATTCAGTTCTCATTAGCCGCTCATTATTCTCTAGGATTCTTCACCATTTTTTTCAGTTGATTTGCTTCTTTGGATGTTAAAGCATTTCTTTTTTTTCATTGATTTTGCTCTCTGTGCATTTAGTCCTCCCTATACTCTTTGTATCAAAACCCTAGTACACTAATCTCCTCAGATGGGAAAAACACGACGTGGGCATCCTCTTTCCTCTTTGCCCCATTTTGTTATTTTTTTGTGCTTTAACCTTGCCTTTCTTGCTATTCCAAACTCTGAAATTGCATCATCTGATTCTTTGGTCCTCAAATATAGCCAAAACTGTTATGATAAACTGTGAAAGCACTCAATAATCTCTCTACTAAATCTGTTGAAATTAATCCATTTATTTCATATGTCCACAAAAACAGAGTTTTACTCACACTTATTTTCTCAGCTACATAATTGCCCCTGTTCTCTAGCTTGTCCTCACTGGCATAAAAGGTGAATGTCTGCAAAACATTGGATCCAGCTCTGAGGAATTCCCGGTGAAGCTGACGAACTGCAAAAAATTAAAAAGAGAAAAAGAAGAGATGTTTGGTACAGTTATTACTGTTATTATCCCAAAATGAAATGTTTATTGAAGTAATATTACTGTAAAATAAGTGATACTGTGTTTCCTAGAAAAGCCATTATGAGACAGTAGAAGCAGTACCCCATAGAAAGAATATAATTTCTTTCTTCTCACTCTCAGAACATTACGTAGAAAACTTTCTCCTTAGTTGTTCTCTGCTAAGAATGACAGAAGATTTCTATTTAGTTTATCAGTAGATTCAGTTTTGCATGCCACCTTGCTTATTTTCTACTTTCTGCAGTACTTCACACCTCCCAATTTCATTTTATAGAACTCCATAGTGGTTTAGGAAGGGAAAGCAGACATCTGACAAAAGAACATGAAAGCAGAACAGGGAATACGAGACAAAAAGATCATCAAATGCAAAAGCTGTATTTTCTTAGCTTCTAGACTATGAAGAAGAAAACAGAAGAAAGTATCATGGCAACAAATGAAGGGGCTAGATGATATTTATATGGAAGAACACAGTGTTCCGTTACCTCCTCTATTTTGTATTTTCTGGTTTTCTTGCCCTGCAAAACCCTAGCTGAGTCTAGTCAGCCAAAACCACAGCTCTATTTTGTAAAAGATGATTTGTTGCTCCAGAAAAGTGATTCACAACACAGACTTAACTCTTCTCATAAGTCAGCACATGATTATTTTACTACAGACCCAACACTACTTTTGAAGAAAAGGTTGGCATTACTTTTAATGGACAATATTCCTAAATTGGGACTTTGGGACCAGACTCTGTAATGGTAGTTCTGCCTTCATCACTGTAAGCAGTACACTGCAATCACCATAGTAGGAACAGAACAGGAGCTGTCAATTGATTTTATATGTATACCCACAGAACAATAATTATAAGAGAACAAGAATTATAATAGATCAGTAGAACACTACTGATCATGTAAAACAGAATTAAAATGCTCAACGGCTTATAGCAAATACAGGAATAATTTATTCCCCTAGATACTGTACACAGCCACAAGAACACTGCAGTTTCTGTGGTAGATGTTTGGAAAAGTTTTCCTGAAGTCCTGGTTTATCGTACCTCATTGTCTATAGATGATCTCTATCATTAGGGAAATGTGTGAATGTGTCGTGAGAATAAAATTACTCCCTTCAGCTTGAACAAACACAGCCTTCTATACTGGAGAAGCTCAAACAGCAGTTTGAGTTGCTAGAGTCAACCTGCATACGTGCAAGCATCTCTGCTTTCATTGAAGGAACAGTGTGGTGTCCCTTGCTTTTCTCTACTAGTACAGTATTTAATTTCTAATTACAGCCTTGGGTAACCACACTGTGAGTTAACACAGTGCTTCTTTACCAGCAGTCACAAAGACCTATCCAGGAACATGGATAATAGCAGAGCTACAGTTCAAAAAGTCCCCGGAATCTGCCTGAACTACCAGGATCAAATTTCAGTCTTGCAGCCTTTACACAGAGTCAAAACATTCCTAGTGCAGGGAGTATTCTTTTTCCTATAGCATTAAAATAGGCTACTGATCCCAACTAAAAGGGCCATCTCTGTATGTTTGTAGTGTTCTGTAGTTTGTTTTTCCATTCTCGCCCCATCAGAAATCGTTGATGAAAACTAGTCAGGAAATGGGTAAAGCAAAAAAGAATCTAAAAATATTTTCACAAATGCTCTATGACATGTCCATAATAAACAAGATTTGTTTATCCCCATGGTTAGTGCTTTTTAAATATGGTTCTTGTACTCCTAGAAGAATGCCTGGGATTTGTGTGAGTAAGGATGGTGACATAGGTAGGCAAATGAAACGTAATCTAACACATATGAATAAGGAACTTCATATCCGAAACTGTCAGGTATGTGAACAGGAGACTCTTAAATGGGTCTACATTTTGAGGGAAAGAATAGTGTTACAAGTATCAGCCTGAATCTCTTTCAATCCCAAGCAAATTGCTTTGACCACTAGAATACACTGTTACTATATCAAGCCCACAGCAGTCTGCACTATCACAAACCCAAACCACTCTGTAATTTACTTCCCGTGTGACTTCCAGCATGTTACTGAAGCTGTATTTTCCTCCAGCATTTGGGAAATGGGGATAACAGCCACATATGAGGCTAAACAATTACTAACAATCTCATGCATTTTAGGAGTCAGATGTATAACACTGAGTTTTCATTTCAATCCACCATGAGCTAGACATTTCACGAAAGACACAGACTTAAGCTAACAGGAGATGGGGTCAGTAAGTGCCTATGCATATTGCTGACTACAGAGCAATACCTGATCTGGCTCAGAAGAAATATTTAGGTCTCATTTCTAAACTTGTCAGTCTGGCAAAACACCTTTGCCTCTCTTGTAACAGGTAATGGTCTTGAAATCACGCTTCCCCCCTCCCCCCCCCCCCCTTCCTTGCTGCTTTTCTCACAACCTCCCTCCTTTTGTCTCCGTCTTTACAAAGATAAGAAGGTCTGGTAGTTGTATGTAAGGTTTTTACACCAGCTGGCTCAGGCAGTTGCTCCTTCTGTTCTTTACACTTGCTTTCAAAGTAACATGACCCTTGAGCATGCAGGAGCAAAAAGCAGTAATGGAGGGGAGGCAGCATACTACATGAAAAGAAATTAACACATTTCCAGTGAAGGCTTTATTTATAAATAGCCTATAAGGGGCTTATAAAAATTTTATAACTGTTACAGACATGAGCAATATGTTCTAGCAAATCAGCAGCAATTCTTAGAAGGCTGGATTCTAATTTATGACTACTGATAACTTATTTAAAGCAAACCTGTGTGCCAATTTAGTCAATTCAAGCCATCTGCAACTGTAAGGCAATGTCTTGCATTCCCCATGGACTGAGACCTGCACTTCCCAAAATGACATGTGGAGATCATCAAGGGCTTTTGAGGTGCAAAACAAGAAAGCAAAGGGGAAATAAGGAGCATGGGATAAGTGCTATGATTTGTAAGGTGGAATGTATAGGGGCAGACAGATGTAGAGGTAGAGAGAAACAGAGAGAGGTGATGGGATGTCTTTTGGGGAGATGAGAGTCAGCAAATTAGCTCATCGCCCTTTAAACATTTGCTGTAGCTCTGCATTATCTAAGGCTATCTGTGACCCTAAGTTAGGCATGCTACACATAAAGTGGCATTTGAAGGCTGAGAAGGATTAGGGTGAATAAATTAAGTAAAGTGTACAAAGCAGTGTAATAGAGAAGGCTAAGATCTCTCTCCTTCTTCCCCTCCCCTTCCTTCTTTCCATGTATAGAGGAAAAAGACTAATTTGGAAGGGCAAATACTTAATACAGAATAAAGAAATCCTCTCCGCACCCCCCCTCCCCCCGATATTCTGAATTAGGCTGTGGGACTAACTGCACATCATATCACCAGGGCAAATGCTTTCTTGTAATGAAGTGTACATAAATAGATAATAGCATCTGCTTTTGCACTGTTTATGCTAAACACTATAATCTTTATGCTGGAAGGCATAGAATGATAACTCATTTTGTCTCCATCCACTTTAAGAGAGTTACTCTCTTAAATGTTTATTTCAATTCTTAGGTTCTTATGAGGTTTATCATTCCCCATTTCACAGTGGAGCCAGGTACATTAAATACTCCTCTTCCATTCCATTGTTTACTAAAAGCTGCTATTTTCCTAAAAGAATTAATGAACAAACTATAATAACTTATAACAATATAAAAGTCCTAGAATGACTAGAACACAACAAAACATATAGTTAACTGCATAATTCTTTCTCAGAAGGTGTTTTAAATGATAAGCTTTATATCAGCTCAAGGACAGTCTGGACAAATCCATGAGAGAGACCGTGTCTGGGTCAAAAAGTCCCTGGGCTACAAATCATTGAAGACTGGGAGACCATTCTGGAGAGGTATCACTATGTGTTTACACTATTCATATTCTTACACAGCTGTCATGGTTTCAGCTGGGATAGAGTTAACTGTCTTCCTAGTAGCTGGTACAGTGCTATGTTTTGAGTTCAGTGTGAGAAGAATGTTGATAACACTGATGTTTTCACTGATGTTGCTAAGTAGTGTTTAGATTAAAGTCAAGGATTTTTCAGCTTCTCATGCCCAGCCAGCGAGAAAGCTGGAGGGGCACAAGAAGTTGGCACAGGACACAGCCAGGGCACCTGACCAAACTGGCCAACGGCGTATTCCATACCATGGGACGTCCCATCTAGTATAGGAACTGGGAAGGGTATCGGGGGGGATCGCCACTTGGGGACTAGCTGGCTGTCGATCGGCGGGGTGGTGAGCAATTGCACTGCGCATCATTTGTACATTCCAATCCTTTTATTACTACTCTTGTAATTTTATTAGTGTTATCATCATCATTAGTTTCTTCTTTTCTGTTCTATTAAACCGTTCTTATCTCAAAAAAAAAAGTTTCTTCTTTTCGGTTGTGTTAAACCGTTCTTATCTCAACCCACGAGTTTTACTTCTTTTCCCAATTTTCTCCCCCATCCCACTGGGTGGGGGGTGAGTGAGTGAGCAGCTGCGTGGTGCTTAGTTGCTGGCTGGGGTTAAAGCACGACAACAGCCAACTGCTTTTGGCCAGTGTCAGAGCAAGAAAAAGGGGTAAGATGAGCATTTGGCCTATAGATTCTTAGGCTGTTCTTAACAGCATAATTTTACAGTGTCAAGGAACTCTTCTATTTAAAAACTTACTACAAGTTCCTATATATTTATTTTTTAGCCATCCATGTTTACATTCACTGCAGGATTTCTGTTTCCCAGTAAAACTGACCTGCTTCTGGATGTTCTACCGTTGCTTCAGGAGTCCAAGGCCCAGCTTTTACATATCCCCTCTTTTCAAGAGCAAAGACAAATCCTCCATCTCCAATCACAATTTCTCCAGCATCTAAGCGCTCTAGAATACCCTGAAGAAAGCAGGAGGAAAGGTTAACAGTTACAGTTCTTCAGTTTTGTGGGCTCCCTTTGTCTTTTTTGCCATTTCCTGTATTTGCAAAGCAGATGTGAGTATTTGTGGGCTACCAGAAACATCTTTGCCATAATAAAGAAAAGTAATAAATTTCCTTCTTTAAATTCTCTTTAAAGAATAGTAAATAGTCTGTTTTGCAACATAAGGCTTTAATATGTGCGTATATATTATGTAAGACTTTTCATTGGTCAGCTTGATTGTATTCCAGAGATACAGTCCCCAGAACTAGAAGTCAATGGTCCAGTTCTGATCCTGTGAAAGTAAAACACCATCTCAAATTCTCCTGTAAAATATATGAGAAACTTGTTAAAATGAAACACTAGTATCACTGACCTCTTTATTAGCTTATTTGCTCTTTAGCTATGAATGCCATCTTGACAGACCCTCAACACAAGTAGCTTGTGACACAAAAAGGCACAACAGGCATCATAGAAAAGTAAGCATATACCATTTTCCTACTGAATAAGACACATCTCAAAATGCTGGCCTCCATTTTCTGACAGAAAATGACTTTCTGACTTTTTACTGGCCTAGGTTTGCTTACCTAGACATACAAAATGAAAGAAAATCCTGCTTGTTTTGCACAGCCCTGCCTGAAATATTTTAAGATGCCCAATTACAAATGTTATAGCACCCCATGATTAACCTTGCTTCTGCCTTGAACTCCATGCTAATGCAAGGAAGCAGTAATTTTTTTTTTGTAAAATTGAAAAACATGAGAACAACATATATTGGTTGCACCTAACATATATTATTTTTTGTATTCCTTTCATTGCTTCTTTGGCTTGTTCAAATTTTCCATAAAGTACTTTGCTATTACACTAAAGAAGACTAATTTCTGCAATTGGATTACAGCCATAATTCTATTTACATTAGAAAGTGGATGAATGCAGACCCATTACATTAAAAAAGGTAGCAGGTACAGGAAAAGAAATAATCAACGGTAAGACTAAAATTTCCCTCCACAGCTATCTTTTCTTGATGGCACACTAGCATGCCAGCAGATGAAATCTGAGGGAGTGGGAAAAAGAAAACCCTTGTGGACATAGAGTTGAATGTGGTTTTCATGCTGAGAGGAAAGGGTTTTTAACAATTAGCCTCCAACCTTTAGAAGATTATCTTTCCTGATAATGTCTCCTTCATTAATTCAAGTATCTCACATCATTGATCCAGGAAAGACAAACACTTATGATGTCTCAGCACCACCCTTTAGGTGGGATGAGAGTATGTCTTTCCAACAAGAAGGAACACTGTGCCAACTATTCCAGTTCCAGTACCAAGCATAGCAGCATAAGGCTGCTTGGAGTCTACAAAGCCTGGCTGAGAGGGTTGGCATTTTTGGCTCAGGCACTGACATGGCAGCAAGGTGGCAGAACTGCTTTGTACAGTGCTGCTGTGCTTGGCCAAGTGTTGGCTTGCAAATCTCTGCATCACATCCCATTGCACATTGTGTACTTGTCAGAATATTGACCTGATTAACTTTGTAACTTTAATAAAGTGTGCAAGCTTTTATCTTTATTTTAGGAGGACCAGGGCAAAACTCAATCAGCAATACTCAGTCTCCAAAACTCAGTAATTTTCATCGAGTTTACCACTCTTGCCTGTCTGCTAGGGCAATTCTGTTCTAAGTGTTAATGTCAGGAGGCTTTGTAAAGATTGTGTTTGCAATTAACTAATTTGCAGTTGTAACAGTATGCCTCAAATGGAGCCAAAGAAAGGCACCCAGGGGATCACTGGTTGAGTCCCTGCTTCCTCTACCTGCCAAGGAATCTTTTATAGACAGAGTCTGCTTTAGGAGTTAAATATGCAGAGAACAGGAGTGCAGAGGAAAAAAAAAAGTTTAACTGTCAAGCAGCCTCAGTCATTGCTTGTTAACGGAACATTAAATAATAGATACATCTTTGACACCAAATATAGATATTATATTTAAATGCACTACAACTAACAGATTTCTTTTACGAAGTCACTTCTAGGATTTAACAGCATTTCTCCTTCACAGTTCTAGCGTTTTAAAAACTGCATTTTAAAATAATCTCCACTTTTGACTCACAGAAACAACATAAGCCATGGCTGAATAGATCACAGCATCTTGACACATAATATATTGTGATATATTAAACCTAGCATCGGGCATCTAATAGCAGGTGACATAACTATAAAGCACAAAGTACTTGGTACAAACTTACTTTGTCAGTTCAGATTGACTTAAAATGGAAATAACTTTTTTGCAAACTTTATTATAGGACGGATATCATCTCTTCACACCATTTTTACTTTATCTATACCGGTAAAATACCATTGGTTCAATAATCATACAGGTAGCATAAATTCAGCGTCAACATTGTTTTGTTCTGCCCTGGCGACCTAAGCTGCATGCTCACGTCTAATCCACATCAAAATTATACCTTCAGGTCCGATAGTACACAGATCTGGTATTAAATAACAAGAAATAGTACCTGTAAAAAGCTAACCAACGCTTTTTTGAGCCATCTTTTCACTGTTTTACTTTCGCTACCATGAATGAAGTTGCACCACATAGTCCACACATCTATCCATGGAAAGAGTGCAAATGTCTGTATGAAGATACTCCCCCAACCACCTTTAGGAATGTGACTGAACCATGTAAGTGAAAAGCCCACCTGGTCTACCTATATCCTACCTTTGCATCAGTGGAGAGAAAAAAAGATCTCAAAACAACTATTCAGATCTTAAGGGAGTCCTCAAGAGAAGCTTATCTCTGCCCATTGCCTGTAGGGGGAACTTACGGCAATTGCCTTCTGCTAGGTGTCTGAAGTTACATGGCATGAGTATGTGCCAAAAAAAATGAAGAGCAGAACAAAAACCTCCCCACCAACTTCCTTTATAACTGATCTACCTGAAAGGCCTGGTAGGCTCGCAGACTTCTTCCCATATCCTTCTGTTCTCCTACTCTGGACTTACATGCTACACACAAAACTCAGTAAAACCAGTCCTGAGTAAGAAGTGTCCTGTTAATGATAATAGTGTCCTTCTGAACAGAAGACAGAATATGTGATTCCACTGACCTGCCCAAGCAGCAGTGCAGGGTATATGTCAGAGTTTGATTTAGCCATTGCTCATACGTTTGCCTTAATGGACAGAACGGCGGATGCCTGGATAACTTTTTTTACTGGCTTATTTCTTTAGCTAAATGAGGGTGCAAAGGGCATGCATGTATTGGAGACTGCGCTCAGATTACAACCACTGTTGGTATTCAATCATATAAATGAAGAGAAGAGCAATTTGGGGCTTTTAAATAGAGTTGGCAGGATGCTGGAGACAGAAATCCCATCCAATAACAGTTTATGCTTAAAATATTTACAATTTTAATGTGTTGCAAACACAGCTTAGTTCGCATATCAAATAATATTAAGCAAAACGGGTCTGAACTTTGCCGGCTCCAGTCTACGCGTTCAGAGAAATAAAAGTTCTGGGAGCTGCTACGGCATTAGGTTCAATCTAACCTAGCTATCTCATAACGCCACCCGAACGTCCGTAGCGGCTCGATGGCGGATAGGTACAGCTGCTATTACTATGGCTTTACTTTAGCTTTTCACAGGATGACCTTACCTGCAGAGATACTGAGTGCATTGCGGGGAGGTTAACAACCGCCCGTTTAGCCGCAGCTCCCCCGGAGAGCCTCCGGGCAGGACGCCGGGGCGGGGGGCGGTGGGGAGGCGCGGGCAGAAGGAGCCGTTAACGGTCGCGGCCGCCGGCGCGCGGCCTCCGCACCGCCTCAAGGCGCGGCCCCCGAGGGTAAAAAGGTGCCTGGCGCAGGCGGTGAGGGGACGGCGGTGAGGGGAGCGGGCTCCTTCTGCCGGCCTGCGGTGCTCCGCCAGCTGCCGGTCGGGGTCACCGGGCCTCTCCCTGTGGGCAGGAGGCGCATCTTGCCCCCCCTGCGCCTCGCATTTCTGCGTCAAAGAGCAGACCCAGCTGGCCCGGTGTGGAGAGATCCCTCCTGTTGTCTTCTGGGCCTCATCGACGAGCCAAAAATGGCCTGTTTCACACGGCACGAGCAGACACCTGGGTGAACCGTGCGGTTCACCGCGAAGGTACCCCCCGGATTCTTATCAGGCTCCTGGGTTTGAAAGAAAGGAGCTGAAGGTCAGGTGAGTACATCTCAGGTTCGTGGCATGAAAGAAGCCTAAGAAAAGCCTCTACGCTTGACCTTGATGACCACATGCCTCAAAATTCAGTGGAGGAGCTGGCGTAAGTGTCTGACATCTGGCTGTTAAACAGCTTACTGTTAACTTGCAAAAATTAATATGTAATCTCAAAAAAAGAACACATGCAAGTGTGTGGTGCACCAAATACAGAAAACCTGTGGCGTCCAGTGTTCCCATTTATTTTACTTTTCATTCATTGCCACATAGTGAATAAGCGCGGTGCATATTCCTCCTGCACTTCCATTTAAAATGTCATATTATTTTATAAGACCTCCATTCATAATACAACTAATAGCTTTGATTTCTGAGTGGAGGATGGGTGGAAGGCTAGTTACACATTAGAAAGCCTTTTGCTAGAGAAGTTGCAAAAGCAAATGTACAGGGAGGCGGGAGATAAAATTGAGTATTGATTAACTGTCCTGAAGGGAGAGATACTGTGGTTTCACAGTAGTCTCTACTGCTACTGTACTAAGAGTTCCTACCTTGTCTCATATCCAGAAAAATGGCTTTTTTTTTTTTTAAATTTGGGATAAATTCCCGGATCTGGCTTGTTGCTTGGCTGTTAGTGGATGGGGCAGTCGAGAGGAGGATCACATGAGACAGAGGAGAACAGGGCTGCCTATGGCAGCTGGGCTGGTTTATGCTGGCTTAAAGTGGTTGTGAAAATCCAGTGTGATATAGTAGCAGGTGTGAGCCATTGACAAAAACCTCTTTCTATAATGTTTTGACTTCAGCAAAGTAGAACATGTCAAAATAGACAGAACATGAAAATAGATATTGTTTCATTGTTCATGAACACATACACAGATGTAGTCTGCTGACATTGGCTTTAGAAATGTATCTAGGAGCTTTACTAAGCAGACATTTTTTGAAGACTTTCTCTTTGTGTTGCGTATACTATAGCACTTTTGAAAAGCCAGGCTTTGACACTGTCATTTCAGGGGTACAGTTTCTTATTGAGAAATAGGATCTACGTATAAGGGTATATTGGACAAATAACAAAGATTTTATGTTGTGAGTGGAAGCTAAACTTGCTTTGGTTTTTTTTTTTTTGTATTACTACTTTCTATGTATATAACCCTTTAAGAGCATTTACTTTAAAAGAAGAGTGAACAGGTTAGGTTTTAAGTCAGGTGTGTCTAGACTCCCAAGCAGGCACCCAGTTATATTATGATTGGAGTAGTAAACAAAAGAGATGGACAGATGTGCAATTGTCTTTTTGTAACTGTGATTCTTTTTTTTCCCCAGGAAACAAACACCATCACCTTCCTTAGGGAAAGATAGAGCAGACACAGTGATCATCGGAGGTGGTTGCATTGGTGTGAGTCTAGCCTATCACTTGGCTAAGGCTGGCTTGAAGGATGTTGTTCTGCTAGAAAAATCTGAGCTCACTGCAGGATCTACTTGGCATGCAGTAAGAAATGTTTTGTTAATCTCTCAGATTAACAGCAGTTTGTGTATCTAATGGTGGTGGAAGTTTCATTACCTTTATATTCCTTGGCTTTCCAGAGATTGACTATCTCGGTTATTTTATAGATACAAACTTTAGCACTGAGTTTTTTATAGATTGGCTGTATGAGTTTTGATAGGTTGGTTCAGCTATCCATAGTACACTTTTCTCATTTGTAAAAATTGAGACAAATACTGCATTTTGAAATCACTGGAAGGTAACTGTTAGTATTATTATACATTTTTGGCAGTTAACTGGATATAGACTTTAAACTTTGATTTAACTTGGACTTTTTAAATTTAAGGTTTTATTTCTAAGGTAATCTAATTTATACTGCAGTCTTTATCATTGGAAGTGGTTGCACTGGCATGCATAAACCAGAAATGTGAAATCTGGCATTATTATATGTGTAATTATTTTTTATGTATGTGCCATCCTGAAAAAGAGGTGGTCAAGAAGCAGCATCAGTGCCCAGTTCTCAGAGAATATCACAGTCCCAGAAACTAGAGACAAGAGCTTTCTTTCCTGCCACTGCTGACATTACACAAAATCTTGGAGGAGCAAAGCTAACAACTGTACGCTGTGGGTTTTTTTTAAGGCTGAATGTTTGTCTGTACTCTAAGGAAAAGAACTAAAAAGACATACATGTAATAGTGGCAGGGTGGGGACACCTCCTGTAATAATGCTAATCACATGGACATACTGGTGCACAACATGCATGTATGTAATTACGTATTTTCTATGTCAATGTCAGGAATAGGTAGTGTAATGAAATGAAATAAAGCTTGCCACAATAATGGATGCTTTTTCCATTCATTTCCATCTACACTTAGCTGAAACTGGGAGAATGTTACCCCTGCGTATAGCAATACAAAACAGTAAAAACCTAACAGTGTGCTGTCTCTAGAACTACTCTGTTAATACAACAGAGCATTTATGCAGTACTTGTAACTATAGTATCTGAGTGCCTTTCAGGAACAAGTTAAGGAGGATGACTCAGATGCATTATATTTGATTTGCATTCTCATACTCCTCCCTGGGAACAAAGTCTGAAGTTTGAAATGCTTCATCTCAGTGCAGATGTTTTGTGTGTTTGGGGCCTTGTGAGAGAACAGTAGTTCAAAAATGAAATTTAAAAAAATCACTGCCTGAAATGTATAAGTAGGTTTATACTTCATTTTACTTGCTTTTCAACAAACAAAGCAAAAGAAAACACACTGTATGGAGTTAGGAAAAACAAAATTCAGTAATTACGTCTGTTTTAGAGTCATACTGCAGCTGATGCAGTTCAGCGAACAGAGCAACACCATGCATAGTGTCAGATCATGCATCTTGTGTATTGAATCATAACTATGAAATGCTCAAAGAAATACTTTGACTTAAGTGCATGAGTGAGGCACAGACTGAATTCTATTTACCCAATGCATATACAGAACGATATAAGTGCAAAAAATAATGACAATCACCTAATTAAGAAGTGATTAAGAAACCAAGATCATAAATGGGGGGTTGTTACTAAATGTTTCCTTTGTTCTTGTTGTTATACTCGCTCACTGTAGCTTATTGCTCATAGCTATGTAAAAGCAACCTCTCCTTCAGTATTTTTGCCCTCACTTCTTAGTGAATGCAGCAAGGGAGCACTGAGTGAGGAACTCTGTTTCAAAGGTACGTAGGGACACGGAGCCCAGCAGAGAAAATGCCTGCACTACCACTACTGAGAGGGCTGCCTTGTGGCACCTCTTGCAACAAAATTTGATGCGATTAACACAGCAAGACACCTAGTTATGGAACAAGTTACAATGGATAGCTATTAGGTAAACTACACAGTATACTATCTGTTTTCATTGAACTCAGTATTAGAGTGCTGTGCCTGAAGATGAAAAAGTTAATGATAAGTCTGTTTCAGATGATGAGAAAGATCAAAACTGTGACTGTGGGTTCTTTGTTATAGTAGGTACTGTGCGTTTATTAGTGGTTTTCTCACAGTGGTATGGTACTAGATACAGATGAAAATTACACACACAGTTAGCACGTGAAATGGCACGTAGTATATCGCCTGCAGCCACAAATGTTCGAAGTCTGGTTCAGATGTTGCTGTACTATACCACATTTTCCCTCTTTCACAGTCCAGTAAGTCCTGCCAGAGCTCAGGATCACATTTCATATAGATCATATTCTTGCTAGTGTTGCTGCCAAAACTTTCTTCCACTTCTCAGGTCTGAGATAAATTTGGCTGACTTTCATGTGTGTTACTAAAACAGCACAGAAAGTGTGCACATTTTTATATTACTGTTAATAAGAAGATGTAACTACCAGAGCAAGTGCTGCTCATTTTTATACCTATCTAACCATGACAAAGTAGTGGTTATTATATGTGTGTAAATTAGGTCAAGGCTTAGGCTTTAAGAACTCTTGAAGTTGTACTATTCTGCAGGTCAGATCATTTGCAATCTCACTGAAGCCCTAGGGACTGAACAAGACAGATATAACTCACTCAGCAAATAGATTTTTTGTGTTGTTACTTTTTAAAAAGGTGTTTTCTAAGAAAATGTTTAACATATCATTCTGTTACGTGATACCTTTTCTTGCAACATGCAGTTGATTTTGCTGCTGACAGCACAGCACAAGACAAATAAAAACTTACTACAACTTGGTCAAATTTGCAGGAGGAGAGAATATAGGGTATAACAGTGTTAATACCATTTTCCTCCAGAATGCTAATTTAATAATGGCATTAGTATAAAATCTGAAACAGACTGGAATAGAGCAAAACTGATACACAAACACTTCAACATATAAAACTTTCAACTATAAAAATGCTTTAAAATCTCTGTGTCAATTGTCATAGCAAATTGGTCATTCTTTGTTCATGTTCACCTACAGATGTTCCCTTACAATAACAAAATCTCTGTCTTACAAAAATAGAGCAAAACCTAGAGCAAATCTCCTTTAAACACAAGAGTGGTTCACCCTGAAACTGAGGAAAACAAGTAGACACATTGGGATGCCAGCTGGGCCAGATAGGGAGCTCGTGACTGAGTTCCAGAGCAAAACCACAATATATGGAAGGTAGAAGCAGTAAAAGGCTGCAAAGGGGCAATTTAGAAAAATTGCCTTGGCATGTGAACAGGGTGTTAGGAAAGCCAAAGTCCAACTAGTGTTAAGACTTGTAAGGAACATTAAAGGCAACAAGAAGAGGTTCTACTGCTGCATTAGTAGTAAGAGGCTGAACAAGGAAAATGCGGGACTGTTGCTGAATGAGGTGGGTGATTTAGTCACAGTGTACACTGATAAGGCTGAAGTACTCAATGCCTTCTTTGCCTGAGTTTTCACTGACAAGGTTTCTCAGGCCTCTGTGCTCTGGGCAGGGTTCAAGGAGAAGAGGAATACCAGCACTGGATGAGGATCAAGCCAGGGATTACTAGAAGAACTTGACTCATGCATACATATTGGACCAGATGAGCTGTATCCAAGAATACTGCTGATGGCATTGGAAGGCCACAGATGTATTACCTTTGAAAGACTGTGGAGATCGGTGGAAGTGCCAACATTTGGAGAAGGGCATATGTATGCATCTTTACGAAAAGCCAAAGGGACAAGCAGAGGAGCTATAAGCCAGCTAGTCATACTTTGGTTCTTGGGAAAATCATGGAGCAAGTCTCAGATCTGGGCCCATAAAGGAGGAAAAAGGTGATTGGGGACAGGCAGCATAGATTTGCCAAGTGTAAATCATGTCTGACCAAACCTGATTGCCTTCTATGATAAAATGACCAAGTTTGTAGACAAGGATTTAGCAAGACTTTAGACACTGTCTCCCATAATATTCATGTATTCAGCTGAAGATGTTATGGTCTGTATGGCTGGACAACTAGATAGTTAAAAGACTGTTTGGATGGTTGGGCTCAGAGGGTAGTGGTTAATGGGTCATAGTCTACCCAACGCTTGGAAATAAGCAGAGAGTTGCAGGGGTCTGTCCTGGGACCCATCCTGTTTAATATCTTTATCAGTGATCTGGAGTTGGTGATGAAGTACATGCTCATCAAGGTCGCAGCTGACACCAAACTGGGAGGACCAGTCAATACACTCAAGGGCAGGGCTGTCACGCTGAGGGACCTAGACAGGCTGGAAGGATGGAAGGACAGGAACTTTATGAAATTTAACAAGGACAAATGCAAAGATCCATACTTGACCAGGGAAGTAGTGCAGTCTTTGTCCTTGGAGATTTTCAAGACCAGGCTGGAGAAAATCTTGAGCAACCTGGTCTGATCTTGTAGCTGACCCTTCTTTGAGTATGACATTGGATAAGGAACTCCTGAGGTCCCATTCAATCTGTTTGTTTTATTGTCATTATTTTATGATTCTATGATCTTAATTTTTATATAGTCCAGTCAGGTTATAGTTGTCTCTCAGCTGCACTCCTGAAATCAGAAACATTCATTATCTGAAGCCAAAAAGCATCAAATGTGTTTACAATTCTTTTCTTCACTTAAAAATGTCAGAGAGAGAAGTTTTGATTTAATTCCTGCCATTAAATGCTCTTGAATATCTATGGTTTTATAGCTAACTTAGCAGTGACTTGTGGTTCATTTGGTTCAAAATTACTTTACTAACAGTGACCACTAAAATGGAATTTTCCTACATCTGGAAAATACATTACTACATTTGGAAAAACAACAGAACACCAGAAAATGTTTACAAAAATAAGACAGTAAAAATAATATCAGATGACAAAATTTGCAGGTACAAGTAAATTAATTACACAAGTTATTACACATGGCTACAAAAATGTAAACATTTCAAAGCCTAATTTAATTCTTTGTTCTGTATACACAGAAAAAAGTCCCTTAGGTATAATTTTTTAAGAAAAAAAAAGTTTTAATTACAAATTGTGCAGTGAAACAGCCCTGGGTTTTAGTTTGAGGCAATTAAATTAAATATGTTCACAGCAACATAAAAGCACATGTATCAAATGAGATAAAAAATGCATTAGTCAAATATCTAGTCTCCAGCAGTGTCCAGTATAATGATGATCTGATATGATAATAAGAAAAGGACAAGCAGTATTTTTCCAGACTATTAATTTGGCCCAGGAACTTTCTGAATCCAACATGTCTTTGTGCTTAATGGGGCCTTTAGTAGATTTATCTCCCTCCCACAGATTTGTGTGATCACTTTTTAAATGCAGATTGTTGAGGTAATGAACAATACCAAACATAGGGAAATAGAGCCAAATTTATGAATAAAATACAGGCACAACTGAAAAATATAATACTGGTAAATGATTAATTTTGCACTTTTTTCCATAGGTTTATTTTGGCATTTCAGTCATGTGGTACACTATGATACCATATATAAACTTTAAGATATCAGAAAGATAAAATCCTCACAAAGAAAGGTAGGAAAAACTTTCAACACCATGGCTAGTGTAAAGACATACAATTAGTAATGCTAGAGAGTTATCATACTCTTGCTCTGAAGATACTGAGTACCTGTTATCTCAGTCAGTCAGTATGATTTATGTTTTTTGATGGAAATGGTATC